AACCTTTAACATCCTTAGAACTATTTTTGGAAGAAAGGGTTCTTTGATGATTCTTTGGAAGGCAAGAATGATTCTTTGGAAGGCAAGAAGGGTTCTACAAAGAACCATATATAATATTTCCCAGCATGCTCTATTGCAGGGAGATTTTCAGAATTGCTTTGTTTTACTGTTGTATCTGCTGTTTTTGCATTGATTGGTTGATACATTTTATGCTACACAAAGATAAATAACATATTGTTTTCTAAACTAATCCAATCTGTTAGTAATTGGATTTATTGCACCCATTACCGAGATGGTTGTTCCAGTTTTCAATCTTCCCTACCCTGGCAGTCATTCTGAATGCAGGTTGCGGGTGATTAACAATTCTTCTTGTTGGATATCCTAACTCTAGCTGGATTCCAATAGGAATTACACTTTGCAAGGCAGCATAAATGTGACTTGCAGGCCTGATGTGGCCTGTACACCAGGAGATTCCTAACACCCCCTGTGTTAGAGTATAACTAGGCCCTTAAAGAAAGGCCTTATATATGCAATGCATTGTCATAAATCATTCAATTTTAAAGGCTAATAAGGCTGGTGGAACTGTTCATAGCGGGTTCTAGGAAGAACCCTCCAAAGATAAAAAGGTGTCGGTAGAACCCTTCATAGACGGTTCTAGGAAGAACCCTTAGATGATAAAATGGTTCTTGGTAGAACCCTTCACAGAGGGTTCTAGGCAGAATCCGTCACAGAGGGTTCTAGGTAGAACCATATACAGGACATCAACCTCTCCCTCAACGTCAGTAAAACTAAGGACCTGATCGTGGACTATAGGAGAAAGAGGGGAGAGACCCCATCCACAGGGCTGTAGTGAAGAGGGTCGAGAGCTTCAAGTTCCTTGGCGTCCACATCACTAAGGACTTAACATGGTCCACACACACCTGCACGGTCGTGAAGAGGGCACGGCAACACCTCTTCCCTCTCAGGAGGTGGAAAAATTTGGCATGGGCCCTCAGATCCTCAAAATGTTATACAGCTGCACCATTGAGAGCATCTTGACTGACTGCATCACAACTTGGTATGGCAACCGCACCGCCCTCGACCGCAAAGCGCTACAGAGGGTGGTGTGGACAGCCCAGTACATCACTGGGGCCGAGATCCCTGCCATCCAGGACCTCGATATCAGGCGGTGTCAGAGAGAGGTCCGAAAAATGGACTGTTCACTCCGTCCGGCAAACAGTACCGGATCATCAGCTCTCGCATCAACAGGCTCCGAGACAGCTTCTACCAGCAAGCCATAAGACTGCTAAATAGTCAATTAATGGTTACCTGAACTGTCTGCACTGACCCTATCTTGCACTGACCCTGTGCACACTCACTAGACTATATATATATATATATATATATATATATATATATATATATATATATATATATATATATATATATATATATATATACACACACACACTAAAACACACTACATTGACACCCCCACACAAAACCCCCAGACGTTCACATACGCTACATACGCACACACAACCACATAACACACACATGCATATCGACAACACAAACACACACTTTTACACTCATCATTTGCTGCTGAAACTCTGTTCTTCATTCTACTCTTTATTATCCATTATGATGCCTAGTCACTTGACCCTGCCTTCATGTACATACACTACATTACCAAAAGTATGTGGACACCTGCTCTTCGAACATCTCATTCCAAAATGATGGGCATTAAAATGGAGTTGGTCCCCTCTTTGCTGCTGTAATACAGTGCCTTGCAAAAGTATTCATCCCTCTTGGCGTTTTTCCTATTTTGTTGCATTACAACCTGTAATTTAAATGGATTTTTATTTGGATTTCATGTAATGGACATACACAATAGTCTAAATTGGTGAAGTGAAATTAAGAAAATAACTTGTTTAAAGAAATTCTACAAAATAAATAACGGAGAAGTGGTGCGTGCATATGTATTCACCCCCTTTGCTATGAAGCCCCTAAATAAAATCTGGTGCAACCAATTACCTTCAGAAGTCACATAATTAGTTAAATAAAGTCCACCTGTGTGCAATCTAAGTGTCACATGATCTCAGTATATATACACCTGTTCTGAAAGGCCCCAGAGTCTGCAACACCACTAAGCAAGTGGCACCATGAAGACCAAGGAGCTCTCCAAAGAGTTGTGGTCCTCTGTAGCTCAATTGGTAGAGCATTGTAACGCCAGGGTAGTGGGTTCGATCCCCAGGACCACCCATATGTAAAAATGTATGCACACATGACTGTAAGTCGCTTTGGATAAAAGCGTCTGCTAAATGGCATATTATATTTATTATTTTATATTAAGTACAGATCAGGGTTGGGTTATAAAAAAATATCCAAAACTTTGAACATCCCATGGAGCACCATCAAATCCATTGTTAAAAAATTGGAAAGAATATGGCACCACAACAAACCTGCCAAGAGAGGGCCGCCCACCAAAACTCACGGACCAGGCAAGGAGGGCATTAATCAGAGAGGCAACAAAGAGACCAAAGATAACCCTGAAGGAGCTGCAAAGCTCCACAGCGGAGAGTGGAGTATCTGTCCATAGGACCACTTTAAGCCGTACACTCCACAGAGTTGGGCTTTACGGAAGAGTAGCCAGAAAAAAGCCATTGCTTAAAGAAGAAAATAAGCAAACACGTTTGGTGTTCGCCAAAAGGCATGTGGGAGACTCCCCAAGCATATGGAAGAAGGTACTCTGGTCAGATGAGACTAAAATTGAGCTTTTTGGCCATCAAGGAAAACGCTATGTATGGCGCAAACCCAACACCTCTCATCACCCCGAGAACACCATCCCCACAGTGAAGCATGGTGGTGGCAGCATCATGCTGTGGGGATGAATTTCATCAGCAGGGACTGGGAAACTGGTCAGAATTGAAGGAATGATGGATGGCGCTAAATACAGGGAAATTCTTGAGGGAAACCTGTTTCAGTCTCCCAGAGAATTGAGACTGGGACGGTGCTATAACAGCCTCCACTCTTCTGGGAAGGCTTTCCACTAGATGTTGGAACATTGCTGCGGGGACTTGCTTCCATTCAGCCACAAGAGCATTAGTGAGGTCGGGCACTGACTTTGGCCCATTAGACCTGGCTCACAGTCGGCGTTCCAATTCAGCCCAAAGGTGTTCGATGGGGTTGAGGTCAGGGCTCGGTGCAGGCCAGTCAAGTTCTTCCACACCGATCTCGACAAACCATTTCTGTATGGACCTCGCTTTGTGTACGGGGGAATTCTCATGTGGGAACAGGAAAGGGCCTTCCCCAAACTGTAGCCACAAAGTTGGAAGCACAGAATCGTGTAGAATGTCATTGTATGCTGTAGCGTTAAGATTTCCCTTCACTGGAACTAAGGGGCCTAGCCCGAACCATGAAAAACAGCCCCAGACCATTATTACTCCTCCATCAAACTTTATAGTTGGCACTATGCATTGGGGCAGGTAGCGTTTTCCTGGCATCCGCCGAACCCAGATTCGTCCGTCAGACTGCCAGATGGTGAAGCGTGATTCATCACTCCAGAGAACGTGTTTCCACTGCTCCAGAGTCCAATGGTGGCGAGCTTTACACCACTCCAGCCAACACTTGGCATTGCGCATGGTGATCTTAGGCTTGTGTGCGTAAACACATTTCATGAAGCTCCCGACGAACAGTTATTGTGCTGACATTGCTTCCAGAGGCAATTTGGAACTAGGTAGTGAGTGTTGCAACCGAGGACAGACGATTTTTACGCACTACGCGTTTCAGCACTCGTCGGTCCCGTTCTGTGAGCTTGTGTGGCCTACCACTTCACGGCTGAGCCGTTGTTGCTCCTAGACGTTTCCACTTCACAATAACAGCACTTACAGTTGACTGGGGCAGCTCTAGCAGGGCAGAAATTTGACGAACTGACTTGTTGGAAAGGTGGCATCCTATCACGGTGCCTTGTTGAAAGTCACTGAGCTCTTCAGTAAGGCCATTCTACTGCCAATGTGTGTCTATGGCGATTGCATGGCTGTGTGTTCAATTTTATACACCTGTCAACAACGGGTGTGGATGAAATAGCTGAATCCATCAATTTGAAGGGGTGTCCACATACTTATGTATATATAGTGTCTCTACCTCAAATACCTCGTACCTCTGCATATTGATCTGGTACTGCTACTCCCTGTATATAGCTCCATTCTTGTTTATTTTATTTGTCTTGCGTTACTATTTTATTTGTATTATTTTTTAACTCTGCATCACTTGTATTCGGCACATGTGACAAATAACATTTGATTTGATTTGTAAAGAAGTACATTGTCCTTGACTGTTAAAGGTAATTTACTCTTGAGCCAACATCCGCAGCGTTTACAGTGAATGTGGTGCCCACGAACATCGTGAATATTGCCTTTAATAGGCACATTGTTGACAGGGCAGCACGCTTCTCTGTAACCCCGGCCTTTGTGTATGGATGACAGACTTACCAGTATATCCATGGGAAAAGAGTTAGTCATGCTACTTTGGGACGGCTGAGTGGAGACATCTAGCATGTGACATCAAAGACCCACTTTAAAAAAGTGGAGCATTACCCCCCAGTGTGCGCTCTCCTCTCACCCTGTGCATCACAGCCAACAGTCTTCCTCCTAGTTATATGTTTTATACACATATTTTCTGTCAGCTTTGAAGATTGGATTTTCCCCTCTTAGTATGATGGGGTCATGGGAGCAAACATTGGTAATGCCCAAACCCTACCCAAGACACCCCTAAAAGTACTGTACAAACACAAACACAATTACAGCAGATATGAAGTAAACAATAATTTAAACCCTTTTATTTGATCATCATGTCTATTTTGACTCACATTCATAAAGATATTTTCCCTTTTACATTAAATCCACAATCACATTTTCTCGATGATATTGCACTTCTGTAGTCTCCTTCACTCCCTTCCTGGACCCGGGTCTCCTGTCACTTCTCCCTTGTGCCCTATGTCCCTCAGTCTCTCCACCACGTCACAGTCTGCATGACTGCATGGTCATGGCGTCCTCGGGCCAGCGGTAAGAGTCCACGGCAAACTCGTCATAGTCAGTGCTGTAGATGAGGGAGCGCACAAAAGCCTCCTTATCCTCAGGCTCCGGGCACAGCGTCGCCATCTTGTGCTCATAGGCATACTCCACGATCTGTAAGGCACACACACACACACACACACACACACACACGATAGTTCATAGGTGTACACTGTATACATTAAGGAAACCTGCTATTTCCATGACATATACTGACCAGGTGAAAGATATGATCCCTTATTGATGTCACTTGTTAAATCCACTTCAATCAGTGTAGATGAAGGGGAGGAGACATGTTAAAGAAGGATGTTTAATCCTTGAGACAACTGAGACATGGATTGTGTATGTGTGCCATTCAGAGGGTGAATGGGCAAGACTAAATATTTAAGTGCCTTTGAATGAGGTATGGTAGTAGGTGCCAGGCGCACCGGTTTGAGTGTGTCAAGAACTGCAACGCTGCTGAGTTTTTCACGATCAACAGTTTCCCATGTGTATCAAGAATGGTCCACCAGTCAAAGGACATCCAGCCAACTTGACACAACTGTGAAAAGCATTGGAGGGGCGGTGTTTCTAAAATTAGGAAGGTGTTTCTAATGTTTGGTATACCCAGTGTAAGTATGAAGACCTATTGAGGGTATGGAAGCATGAAGACCTAAGGAAATGTGTGTGTGTGTGTGTGTGTGTGTGTGTGTGTGTGTGTGTGTGTGTGTGTGTGTGTGTGTGTGTGTGTGTGTGTGTGTGCACTCACCTTTACGGCCAGCTTGAGAGAGACATCTCTGATGGTGTTCAGGGGAGGGTACAGTCTTCCCTCCGACAGATCCTTCTCTGTCACCAGGTCAGCAATGGTCTGTCAGAGAGCAACCAAATGGATGAGTTAAGCACACACAGTCACAAACAGATATTCTGCTTACCTTAACACACACACATTTTACTGTAAAGAGTACGGAGAGGTTGGAATGCACTTGAAATAAAAGTTACATTTGATTAGATTTTCTATATGATGCACTGACTAGGTGGGCATGAGGGCATAATGGGTGGCAATCAGTGTAGATAATGTAACTAAGACTTGACATTCATCCCACCCTCCCCCTCCTGCTGTTGCGCAACCGTCCTCCATCCTCAGTCTCCCTCATTGGCAGGCTGAATGTGGATCTCACATGTGAAGCTTTAATCGTCTCCCATGTCTGCAGAGCCAGGCAGCACAGAGCGAAGCGAGCTGATAGGCTGTTCTTGTGCGAATGCCAATGAGAGGTTATCAGTTTGGGCATTTTTTTGATGGGTTATTGACTGGGCTCATTTTCCATGCCACTGAGCTGGGGACAGACATTTTTAAGTGATTTCTTTATTATCTGTAAGCACAGACTGGGTTTCACTGTAGTGTTTTTTCAGACTTTACTGTAGTATTCACTGTAGTGTTTTTACAGACTTTACTGTAGTATTCAATGTAGTGTTTTTACAGACTTTACTGTAGTATTCAATGTAGTGTTTTTGCGGACATGAATGTAGTATGCTATAGTATTCAATGTAGTGTTTTTGCGGACTTAAGTCTGCAAAAACTCTACAGTGAATACTGTAGTATTTACAGTTAACTATAGTATAAATACTGTAGTAAAATAACTAGTATATACTATAATAATGAATGTAGTGTTTTTGTGGAGATTACTGTAGTATTTACTATAATGTTTTAGTTGTTTTATCTTTGACATAGAAGTGGAGTCTTTCTCCTTCAGGAAATCTACTGGAGAAATACTAAAAGAGCAAATTGTACATAACAGATAGTTCAGAGCTTCTACTCTTTTCTATACCTGAGGTCTATACCTGGCATGTAGGTTCCCCACTTATGGATGGCACAAATTGCGATATGGGGGAGGGGAATGGGCAGGGTATATGCAAATTAAATACTGTAGTATTTACTATAGTTTAAAAAGTGTAGTGTTTTTGCAGACAGTGCTTTTTTTGCAGATAATACTGTAGTGTTTACTATAGTATTCTACAGTTTACTATAGAATTCTATAGTACATACTGTAGTATTCTATAGTAAACTGTAGTATTTTTCATGTGGGGTTTCCAGGAAAGAGTGAAGATGAAGAGGAATGAAGAAAGGGGGAGAGATATGGGGGAAGAATTATAGCAAGATCGTGTTGAAAAAATAGAGGTAGAGATACTGGGGCAGAAAGAGAGAGATATTGAGTTGGAGAAAAGACATGAAAGAG